ACGGGGTCTGCTCTGAGCCTGCAGCCGTGTCCCCAGACTCTCACCTGACGGGGTCTGCTCTGAGCCTGCAGCCGTGTCCCCAGACTCTCACCTGATGGGCTCTGCTCTGAGCCTGCAGCCGTGTCGCTGCCTCATGGGTGTTTAAAGGTGTTTTCTTTCGTGATCACCGTTGTTGGTTCTTCTGGATCTCCCATTTGATGGCAGGCAGACACATCTCTAGCCCAGATGATTGCTTATTCCCTTCTCAGCGCCTGGGAATCTGGGAATGGAGAAAGAAACTTTCTCTTTTGGGGTGTGTCTAGTCCTCCAGCAGTGCGGGCTGTGTGCCCACTCGCCTTTCCATGTTGACCCACCTCTGATCTGCATGAAATCTTTTTCCTGATGACCCTGACAGAGCAGATCAACGCCCTCTCCCTACTTATTTCTTCCCAGCAGCCAACCAGCTCATCTCTCACCTGCGAGACTTCTATGTGGGCATCAGGAACCCATATACCAGGCCCCCAATGGCAGGGGACACATGTCAGGCTTCCCAAGTAGAACCAGTTCTTTTCATAAGGCTTCAGGTGAGAAACGATGTGCCCCACCCTCTCCTTTGTGCAGGAATTGGAAGTCAAGCATACCAAAAGATTTCCTCCGAAAATCCTCTCCCTTCTCCTCTATCTCCTGTAAGTTTTAATACCTTAGATGTAGGTAAAAAGTATAAATTTGTCTAACCAGCTCGCTCTCAGCTACAATCAAAACAGGGCGGTCTGTCTCCTGCCCACCTTGGTATCTCTGTTACCCGAGGACTCAGCCAGAACTGCTTTTTGCTGTCTGGGTATGGAAGGGTGGTTGATGCTTAGCTGTAAGTAACATACACGTAGGTCTGGGATATCCAGCCTGCAGCAGACTTTTCTATCTATTAGCCCTGATCATTATAGCCTCCCCAGTAGCTATTATCATTCTCACGGATGAAGGAAAGGGGGAGAGAATCAGAATAGGGGGAGCTTATCTGAAGTCACATCAGGAGTGAAGGAGCAGGGTCTGCACACTGGTCTTCCCGAGCAGAACCTATGCTCACATCAGGTGTGCCTGCTGGCGCCTCATAGCTCAGAAATTATTGGACACTGAGTCATGGGACCGTATTAACTTTAGAAATTTGTCTTTGAATAATTTTTCCATTACTTATTCTTCCTGAGACTTTATTCCAGCTTTCTATTGCTGCCCTAACAAAGTACACAAGCCAGTGATTAAACAACACAAATTTATTATCTAAATGTTTGGTAGGTTAGAAGCCCAACACGGGTCTCACGGGGCTAAACTCAGGATCAGCCAGGCTTGGTCCCTTCTCGGTGTTTTTTCACAGTTTCCTGAGATGAGGACGTGGACCCCGAGAGGTGTTATTATCCTGCCTCCCACAGTAAATGAGCTCTTCAGATAGTGAATTTGAAAAAGTTATGCTACGCACATTAGAATTTTAGTCAAGTCCCTTTATTTCTCCATCCAGTGCACGTTACTACTAGCAGAACAGAGAGACATGGAGAGGTGTGATCTGCCTCATTTTTTTCTCGTTTCGTAAAAATCAATTTGTAGTACTATTTTACTAAATGGCTTTGTTCACCTTAGATTTGAAACTTCATATAAATTCATTGCTGTCATTTTCAATTCAGTATTAAGCATCTAATCCATGCATTGTTATGGGAAAAAGACATTTAAAATAATATTTTTTGGGTTTTTAAATCCAGATTTGGACTTAAGGCCACCACAAAAATCAATTGGAAGCAATTTCTAACATCATTTCAGGAGCCTCAGGACATGGACATTAACATCATGGTTCCTCCAAGAAAAAGAAACAGGTATACAAAAAACAAAACAAAACAAAACAGCCTGAATGCGCGTTATCGTTACATATACCATGACGTGTAGAAGGGAAGGGAGTATCTGAGTTACTTTTCCTTCGCTGGTTGGAGGACCGATTACTTTTCTCTGAATAATAGCCAACTTCTACCTAGTGATTTGCAGTTTATAAATTATTTTTTGTGCACTTTTCTTATTTAAGGTTGCCAAGATTGCCTTAAACTGTAAGGTTGGTATGATTAATATTTCCATTTCTCGAGAAAAATAAGACAAGATCTTGACTCTGCCACCTGCTCCATGTCGGGGGAGCCGTCTGCACACCAGGCTCCTGAATGTTGGACTGAAAGAAATGAATCCCTAAGTCTAAAATCTCTGAGCCACCCTCCTGAAAGATCAAAATCCTAAAGCTGTAATTCTGGAAAAAGTAATTTGAAAATGTTTTAAAAGATATTTACATTTTAAAAAGGGGACTTATTTAAGAAGCATAAAAACACAACAGAACACTCCATAGGCCACTTTTCATAGAAGAGAGGCAATCACAGCTCACGGATTTTTGTAGCATGAACACGTGTGCTAACATCAGTTACATGGACATAGCAGTTATGAGCAGACACACCGAATTCACTAAACACACAAGTCAAAGAGAAATATGTGAACATGTTACCGTGGTAGGTAATTGTGTGTGCCCAGTTTAATTACTGGAGTCACCCCAGACGCTGTGATGGACACCCTAAGTCTTTTGAGAGATCCATCAATATCTGAGATGGTGTTTCCTGGAAATCTGGGACAGTACAGAAAAACTTCCCCCCAAACTTAGAATCAAGAGACCAAAGAGTGAATCCAACTTCACAGGCCACTTTTTATAGAAAATAGGCAATAACATCTACTCGGGAATGAAGTCCAGTTTGGGGAGTTCCATGAGTCTGTCAGAGGTTACCTCCAAGGGCTCTTGCTTCTGGAAGGCATAGGCATTTCTTCTACAAGAGCATCGTGCTGGCAAAATCCCTATCTGCCCACCCTTAACTCTCCTCCCAAGGACTAATACAAAGTTTTTACATTGCATCTGTGCGTGGTCACAGTGAGGTGTGTCATACGAGCATTGTGCTGTCCCACAACCCCCATCGTGTTAATGAAATCACAGTTTTCCATGAAGTGGGGATCTTAGCAGCACCCATAGCTAAGGGCACCCCAGGACAGTCAAAGCAGTTGGCTGCTGTGAACTTGCCACTTCAAGGCAAGGAAGTGCTGAGCACGTTCCCCAGGCCCGGCAGTCATCTTGACACCTGCTCACTCCATTTTGTAATGACTTTGCTGGGCACTCGGGGTGGCACGGCTTCTGGCATGTAGCAGGGAGCCTGCACTATGTCCTTGGGTGTGTCACCACCACATACACGATTGTCCGAAGAGCTGAGATCTGGAGAAATTTTCTCTTTCACAAAGCAGATGTACAAAAAGGAAGTCTGGACATTTTTATGCACAGGCTAGCACACAAAGTCAACATTGTGCTAATGCACCTGAGTGAAGTCAGGTTTCTGATATCCAAGGCAGCAGAAGGAAAGTCTGTCCAGCTCTCGAGTCCAGTTTACCCTCTGTATTCTCGCTGGGTCCCCAGCTGATTAGATGGTCCCATCAAGATCAAGGGCAGATCTTCCCCACCTCATCCCCTGAGACCCACACTCTAGTCTCCTCTGGAAACTTCCTCACGGACAAACCCACGTTGATGTTCTACCATGTTCCCTGGCATTCCTTACTCGAGTTGAGTTGATGCCTAAAATCAAGTCCATGGATCTACCCCTCGTCAGCCCAGCATCTGCAGGTGTCTCTTTAAACCACACTTCAAGTCCAAATAAAGACAATGGAAGGTCACAGTTCCATCTGTGACATAACCATCCTGTGTACAACTGAAAAGGCACAAATCACCGTCCCTGAATTCGGCCTTTAGGATTTCAACATTCAGGATTGTAATCTTTCAGGAAGCGATTTTTGGAATTGAAGACATTAGGGATTTTAGACTTTAGAGATATTGATCTTTTGGGATTTCAACATTTGGGATTGTGTCGCTCGGGATCGTGGTCCAAACCTACTACTGTTACCCCCTCATGCCAGCTCAGTGCCCCCTCACGCCAGCCCTAGCAGTCTCTAGAGAAACCAGATTCCAGTGAGTCACAGGGCGAACTCATACTCAGGAAAACGGAGTGTTTCTGAAAAGTAGTCGTGGGTGGGCGTTTTACACAACTGGAGGAAGCTAAGATGGCCATGTAGGTGCAGCAACCAAAATCCCCAAACAAATGTGAAAAAGGCTCCCCAGGTAAACTGGGTCACTGCCATTATTCAGGGGAAATGTTTGCACACCTGGTGGAATGTCGGGGAAGGGAAGGCTGCAGGTGGTATTTTGTGATGCAGTTCTGGTAGCCTCTCTGAGCGGAGTCTACATGGAGATTGGGTTTGACCTCCAGAGGGGATATCATGGCCTTGAGAGCACACCTGTAGGGGGTGAGAGGGGCTGAGAAAAGGAGGCAGTAGAGGAAGAGAGGAGCCGACAGTGCAGGCGTGGTGGCCATTCCCTGGTGATGGAGAGGGCGAGGTTGTGAAGATGGCTGTCCTACAGCTGTGAGACTGGCATTTGTGCCTGTGGTTATTTCTGTAGTCAAGGTCTCAGCAGTGATCCACAGTCTCTTTACTGATCTTTCTTGAGACAAAAGTCACAGACACACATGATGACTGACCGGAGTTGGTTCAAGGGGTGCGGTGACTGTGGGAAGTGCACCCACGAGCAGAGGGACAGATCAGCGCCCCCCCCCCCACACATTACACTTCCAGGAGCAACAGCCACCCGCAAAGAAAGTTAGTTGTTGTGAGAGTGTTTGTTTTTTTACGTTAATAAAGCACAAAGTTCAAGGACACGATCTTATTCCTGTTTTTCTCCCGATCCTCTTGTAGCATCAACTCTAGAAATCAATCTTGCAAGAAAGACACTGTCACAAAGTTATTTACACGCTCTGATGACCGCTTTGCCTCGCTCAAGACAGCATTACTGATAATCAATGCCGTAAGATTTCGATACCCTTCTCTGGGGGAAACACTTGTGGTTTCTAAGAATGCTAACACTGCTAATACTCAGAACAAGACCAATAAGAACACTAGAGTCACTGGTTTATCTAACAAGTGGTTTTTGAGCTCCTAATATGTGCTGGAAAGTTGTCTGAGTTGGTTCTATTTGGGAGGGCAGATGATGTAAAATGAATTGCAATGCAGGAAGATAAATTCTGATGGCAATGTGTGGCAAGATTGTTAGGAATGGAATGACTAGTCATCATTAACTGTGTAATTAACCAATGGTCCATACCTGCTGAACCTTCCCCATCCTGGCCTAGAGTTGACCAGTTCATAACCAACTTTTTGCCCATAGAAGGAACATCTTTTTAGTTCCAAAATAGCCTATTTAATTTTTTAATTGTACTACAGAGACTAATTCATGAGTTTGCAACTTAACTTTTTCTTGCTTTCATTATTAGCTCCTATCTCTTTTTAATGCTTATTTCAAAAAGCAGCATTTGAGGCTTGGCGCCTGTGGCTCAAGTGGCTAAGGCGCCAGCCATGTACACCCAAGGTAGCGGGTTCGAATCCAGCCCAGGCCCTCCAAACAACAATGACAGCTGCAACCAAAAAACAGCCGGGCATTGTGGCGGGCGCCTGTGGTCCCAGCTACTTGGGAGGCTGAGGCAGGAGACTCGCTTGAGCCCAGGAGTGGGAGGTTGCTGTGAGCTGAGATGCCACGGCACTCTACCCAGGGGGACAGCTTGAGGTTCCTGTCTCAAAAAAAGAAAAAGAAAGCAGCATTTGGATACTTTGATACATAGCAACATTCCCCAAGCTTGTTATGTATCATACGAAGCACATTCAACAAATGACTCTCTAGTAAATAATGAGGAACAGGGTGAATTACTTTTCGTAGACTCCAATAGGGCTGAGTACGAATGACTTTGTATGCTGAGAACTTCCCCAGCCTCCGCACCAGCTTCCCACAGCCAGCTGACAAGGGGTGTGTGCAAGCGAGGGCAGCGCTCTGGGAAAGGCCACGTCACCTGGAGGTGGCCTCCAGGTTGGGCTTTGCTGTCCGTGCTGGAGGCCCCAGCTCCCACCTCAGTCAGCCTAGAACACCATTGCTTGAGGGTTCCAAGAACAGTGTGGATATGGAAATGTGGGGTTCTGTGTGCCCAGGGATATACCTGCTGTAACAAATCTTTAGGCCTCTATGACTTGGTCTCCCTGAATGAGCAAAAATATCACACCTAGTGCTTCCTGCATGCCAGGCACACTCCTAGCAGTTTGCTCGTATACACACACTTAATCTCTCAGCAGCTCTCTGAAGGAGGGGAACATTACTATTCTTTCCACTGACAGTTGTGGAGAGGGAATTCCAGGGCCAATACTAAGCCTGGGGCTTCCCAGCTAGAGGCTCCAGACCGGCACACTCCAGCACTGGGTGGGGCGGCCAGGTGAGCTCTAAACCACCTAGGAAAGGATCAAGGAACGCTTTTGAGCATGAACCCACCTTAGGTTCTATTAGTATGTTTAAGAAATAATTTAATTAAAACAGTGAAATCTTCATTTCCTCGAGTAGAGGACTATAACAATGCTAACCACTCCAGATACTAGACTATTTAACAGTCATTGCCGTACTGTTCAGCTGGAGTTTATACAGATAGTGTAGGGTAAAAATTGGGTGTCCAAGCTCTGCTGGGCCCCAGGCTGTGTGCTTAGGCCAAACACACAGGTGAGTCATATGGAGCCCTCCCTGTGATGGGCTGGCCCTGTGGAGCATCACACAGTGGTAATGACCGTCATGGACACATCACACGATGGTCGTGACCCTCATGGGCACATCACATGATAGTAATGACACTCATGGGCACATCACACAGCGGCAGTGACCATCACACGCAAATCACACGATGGGAATGACTGTCACAGGCACATCACATGATGGTAGTGACTGTCACAGGCACATCACTTGATGGTCACGACTGTCATGGGCACGTCACACGATGGGAATGACCGTCACACGCACATCACACGATGAGAATAACCATCACACGCACATCACATGATGGTAGTGACCATCACACGCACATCACACGATGGTAGTGACCATCACATGCACATCACACGATGGGAATGACCATCATATGCACATCACACGATGGTAACAACCATCACACACACGTCACACAATGGTAATGACCATCACATGCACGTCACACGATGGTAATGACCATCACACACATGTCACATGATGGGAACAACCATCACACGCACGTCACACAATGGTAATGACCATCACACGCACATCACACGATGGTAATGACCATCACACACACATCACACAATGGTAATGACCGTCACATGCATGTCACATGATGGGAATGACCATCACACACACATCACACGATGGTAACGACCATCACACGCACATCACACGATGGTAATGACCATCACACGCACATCACACGATGGTAATGACCGTCACACGCACGTCACACAATGGTAATGACCGTCACATGCACATCACACAATAGTAATGACCATCACACACACGTCACATGATGGGAATGACCATCACACACATGTCACACAGCAGCAATGACCATCATATGCACATCACACAGTGGCAGTGATCCTCAGATGCCTTCCAGTGGCACACTGTATGGTTTGAGAGTGGGACCTCCACCCCCAACCCCCACTACCAGGGGCCGTACTATGGAAGGGACTAGACAAGGAGAGCAGAGGAGGGAGCCGTACCAGATAGGCTGGGTGTTTGGCTTGGGGGCACAGGGCGCATGGGAAACAGGCCTCTCTCCTGCTAAAAGGAGTGATGTAGATAGAATGTTTAGAAGAAACTCTGCTTTAGGTCTGCTGTGTGTGCTGCTGCCTGCTCTGCAGGTGACCCCACTGTTACAGTCACTCACCTGTAAACCAGGTGGCTCACTTCCGTCACCCAAACAGTCTGCACACTGCTGTGCACTTTGCTTCTCTGTGTTCTTACCTGCAGCCGATGTGGTTTTGTTACTAGAAACTCCAGAAGACTCTTCTCAGAAAACATTAGAACTGATTGACAGAATTTAGAAGGTCATTGGGTACAAGGTCATCATTCAAAGACTGTCTATATATCTATAAACTGTAATAATCAGTTACAAAGAGAAGAACTTTTAAAAATATAATTTCTGATAACATTTTTAAAAACTCAAGTGCCCAGGAATATATCTAACAAAATGTCCAAATTCTCTTCATTAAAGATTGCAAAGATTATTTACAAAATAATACCAATCCTTTATAAACGTTCAGAAAATACAGGCAGGAGGAATGCTAACTCAGTCTCTGAGGTCAATATTACTTTGATATCAAAAGAATCACAAGAAAAGAAAATTGCAGCCTAATATTTTTTGTGACTATAGTTACAAAATTTCTCAACAAAATACTAGTGAGCCAAATTCAGCAACATTCAACCAGGATTAAATTCTGGAAACGTAAGAGTTTTATCCCAGGATGGCAAAGTTGGTTCAACTTCAGAAAAAAAGCCAGTTAATGTAATATACAATGTTACTAGAATTAAAGACAAAACTGCATGATTATCTTATCTCAATAGATGCAGATAGAAGTATTTGAAAAAAGCCAATACCTGTTCATGATAAGACCTTTCAACAAACTAGGAATAGAAGCGAGATGCCTTAACTTCATAAAGGACATTCATAAGTCCTTAAGTATCAGCAGAGTTAGTGGTGGAAGACTGAATGCCTCGCCCTGAAAGCAGGAATAGCACAGGTGTCAGCTTTTGCGACTTCTGGTTAACATTGTACTTGGGTTCTAGGCAGTCCAATCAGAAAAGGAAAAGAAATAAAAGTCATTCAGATTGGAAGGAAGGAAATGCAGCTGTCTTTATTCACAGACGTGATCTCGTGTGTAGAAAATCCTCAGGACTGTGCATGTGTGTGCACAACAGAAACCGCTAGACGCAATAAGGGAACTCGTCAGGGTGGCAGGATATAAGATTAATAGACAAACCCACAGAAACTCAGGTGTAGGCTCGGCGCCTGTGGCTCAAGTGGCTAAGGCGCCAGCCATGTACACCCAAGGTGGCGGGTTCGAATCCCCAGCCCGGGCCCGCCAAACAACAATGATGGCTGCAACCAAAAAAATGGCCAGGCATTG